TGACTGTTCAATAACAAAGCCTGTTGGCAAAACAAAGAGAAAATTGAAAAATCGGTTTAAGACGGAAACTCGATTTTCGTTTCCTTTTTCTAGCAAAACTATTATCTTTGTAACTTACATTTTACATAACTTATTTGATTCAATTCTTCGCACAAAAACAAAATTAAGCGATTTTGACAATTAGCTTATTATCGAATTATGCGCATTTTCAGTCGCCATCTACAGACTTATTGTTAGTAAACTACACAAGTTTCAACGACAAAGTGAAAATCATGTGTAAAATTCCTATACTCATTTTGTATGAAGATTCAAATAAAATTAAGTATAACCAAAACACTTTACACCAAAAATCTCGAATTTTCCATTAAGAGAAGCCCTTGTCCCAAGTTTTTTCACAGAAAAGTTTCTGGTAAGAAGCAAACAAAATAGATCCATCTTTTGATGCAGTTTCATACGCAGAGTACAAATTTTACATTTGTTGTGAATAAAAATGTTCAACGTTTGCAAAAATGGCATTTCTCTAATATTGTGCTCATTCTACTGATGGCCATTGTATCGAATTTTTGAGGAAAAAGTATTTTGACATCGGATTTTCAGTTTTGTTACAGCGGGACGTCGGCGATGGACACCGTTAATCATATAACTAAGTAGAGCGACGACGATTCTAAATTCCAAAATAACATCATTTATGAATAAACTCTGGTTGGGTTGATTGTATGGAAAAACTAGTTAAAACGTTAATAGCTACCAAAAATGATTTGAAATTTACATTAGCACTATTTGGGAGCACATGGACATATTACACAGCTCTATACGAAAAAATAGAAAACTTTGTTGACGGTATCAATTATCAGTACTATGCCGAAGGTCTTCCTATGAATGATGCTGATGCTGCTGTGACTACGTATCAAATCCGGGCAAGCCAAAGTAATATACCAATGAGTAAATTTTTTTATATAGTTAATACAAATCAAAATGCAAAACGTGGTATCCAACCGCCGGCTAGTTTTGATGCCTATACGCAATTAGTAACCTCGGGTGTCACGGTGTTTAGTATTAATGATGATAATAACAATTATGATACAGAAAAGAAATTTGCAGAAATGCCAAACGCACCAAACGGGAAGAGTAATTCCAAATGCATCAGCTACAGTTTTATGGTCATTATTTTTTCTTTCTTTTGCTGCCTTTCACGTAAAATGTATTGGTAATTGAGTTTGAAAATAAAATAGAAAACAACATTTGTCAATTTAATTACCAAATAGAAGACTAGGGATCTTCTCGGAGGTCCGCCAAAAGAATCGGAAAATGCCTATACCTAGGGAAATTTTGAAAAACATTTCTCCAAAATGAAACTTGTTTTAAAGCCATTTATCATACTTCTTTGCAGAATATGAAACTGTCTGTGGGGTAGTTCACTGCAGCTCCGTCCGATATTGCATGACTTGAAAGTCGATCAGAAATAACATGGTGCGGATGAGGATGATTAGTTCAGCACCACGGTCATTTTTCACTACAAACTGCCGTAAGGAACAGCATCAGAAAGTAGTTGATACAGCCAGATGGCCATTGTTCCATCATCAAACCTTCTGATGTTGTTGTGATTGTTGAACACCTATAGAAATTATCTGTATTAAAAACACTAAGTAGAACGATGATTATCATAAAGCGTTTGAAGATGGTCCTGGATGGACCTTTCGGAGGTGGATAAATTAGGAAATTCAGCCATGATAAAAACCAATGTGACTTACCAGACAATATGAAGAAAGATAGAGAAAGAAAAAAAGAAGAAGAAGAGTTTTGCAGGAGAACGGAAGGTTCGGCAAGACGAGATCGCCAAGTGTGAAGAACCTATATTTCCTCTAATTATAAGTCCTTGAGTTGATTGTACGCGTGCGTTAAGATATGTAGTATTACTCTTTTATTCGACTACTCTTTATCACAAACTACAAAAAACTAACTTTTCAAAAGAAAAATACTAATATATATATGTACTACTGCATGCACAAAAGATAAGAACCACAAAAGACCAAAGTGTGGAAAGAACGAAAACAGACAAGGAACAGAACGAAATAAAAGGGAGTAGCCCTATACACTTGTCATCGGACTGCATTTACATAATTGTTTATCAAGATGATTAGGGAAATCAACTATATTATCATGACCAGGACGATAACATAGCACAACTAACTCTTTATTATGAGTCGGTAGTGTTATTGAAAAGAATATTCCTTGATAATTATTATTCTTGATATCCAACCCGGCACAAAAACTGAAACTGCAGATATCTAAATATGTAGAGGGGGGGCTGGTTTTTTTCACGTTGCAAACAAAATGCAGACTGCAAAAATGAAAATGTCAGAAGTGTATTTTAGTCATGACGCGAGAAAAATACAGAAGACTTAATCCACACATTAAAACTATATTAGAAACAAATAAAATAAAATGGATACTAAAACTTTAAAATAATTTATTCATTCAACCCAAAAAGAAATGCATGTTTTAACATGCATATCGGATTCAGTTTTTAAAAACCCAAATCCAATAAACACCCATCAATAACATAAGACGATACGAATAATTATTTTCAAAATAATAAGTAACTAAAGAGAATCAATACAAAATCTAATACACTTATAATCTTATATTACCTCTAATTATAATCTTAGATCACTCTACTTAACAGCCCAAGCAAAAACGTCCCGCGATCAAACTCTAGATACAACATGCTGCGAAGCGCCCGCTTCACAGCATGTTGCATCTAAATAAATGTTCCTTTTAATTGTGTTAAATAGTTACAATCAACATTAAATTTGGTCGTGATGCTGAACTCAATGAATTGGGTGGCAAGCTCGGTATAAACAGTAGAAATGCTACTCGCATTTGTGAACAGCAACGTTTTCAATAAGGGTGGGAAAGAGTGATGATTTCTCCTAAAGTAAACTTTTCCTCTTTTTCCACCAGTGAGGATCGTCTGAAAATACTTTGCTGCCCGTACATTCATTCAATAAGCTATTCAGAAAAAAAATTTGGACCTGTTCAGCGTATAAAAGTCGATCTTGCGATAATGCAGTGCCTGGAAGAGTAGAATGTGGCTTTATGTTTCATAAATAATCAATAGTTCTCCAGGATAATAAAGCTACTTGAGTTTTCATAGCATGTAAGTCACATGGCATTCTTGTTTCTTCTTTCCTTCTAATAACCTTTCAACTCATTATTATCGATCGCAGGTATTTGTGATACATACAGACGATTTCGACAAATCTTTTGAAAAAAAGTTCAATTTCTTAATTATAATGTAACCAGCACCTGAAAACACAAAATTTTCAAAAATTTCCGATATATCCTGAATGAAATAATAAACACAATAAATTTAGCTTTAAAATACAAGTCGACTTTTTCTGCAAAATTTCTTCATATCTTTTTATCTCTTGATGCATATTGAAAAATACTGGGACTCTTGATCTGCGGTGCAAAAGTAGTTGCCGAAATCTCCAGCCATAGTTCTCCGCTCAGGAACATCGTAGAAAGTTCATACTATTTCTAGTGGAAAGAGCAACGCCTGAACTTCAAAAAACATAGGAAACAAAATTTTTGGGATTGGCTTTGAGGAAGAAAAAAGTACGATACCAAATGTCGTTAAAAAAGCTCGTGCAACTTTTGTCGTCTTCAAACGTATCTCTCTCATCAAATCTATTTTTCCCTATAATAGAATACGTTTGAAATTATACAAACTACAAGTGTTTTAATCACTCTTTCAAATGGGGTATGGTAAATTATGCTAACTAAGACTTACAATGCGCTTTATTCACCGTTAAAGAATTACTGGGGAGATTCTAAAAGTAGGGAAGTCGATAGAGTTTTGTACAGGCTACTTTTTCATCTATTTAGTTTTCAAGAAAACGTTTTTCTTCAGACTCTAGTAAAAAAATAAAGAAAAAAATATGTTGTAAGAGCTTTTTTAGCGACATTTGATATCGTACTTTTTTCTCAAAGTTTGTTCGCATCGTACTTCCTCAAAGCCCATTCCAAAAATTTTGTTTCCTATGTTTTTGAAGTTCAGGCTTTGCTCTTTCAACCAGAAAACAAATCAACTTTCTGTGATGTTCCTGACCGAAAAACCATGGCCAGAGATTTCGGCAATTACGCTTGCACCGCAGGTTACGTTGTTAACAAAGAAGACTACAGACTTATCGTTTTCTAACGCTAGTTTCGAAAATCATAGTTTTCAATGTCTTCCTTCTTACATGTGTAACTACAGAAACAAATGCATATAGAATCGAGAAATATATAGAATAGAAAAAATTCATGTTTCGTGGATTGAACACATACCCAACGGTAAAAAGTGTTTTCTTTCGTGCATTCTCAGGCCAATGAGCCGTCCAAGATAGCCATCAAGACCAATAAATCGTTTCTTTCTACGTCTTTTCATGTACAAAGTGGCTCCTGACGGCTATCTTTAACCGCTAGCAGAAAACAACCGAAACACGTAAATTTTCAATTGTACGCGAACACGTGCCGTACGACTGATTAATATCTCGTCAAATCGTTTCTGTCTGATGCAGATGCCGCGTCAAGCAATCAAACCTTGGCTGTTGTATGGTGATATTTTCTCCTACAAATATGCATTTCAGAGTATCGAAGAAGAGCTATATGCTTCATCGGGTGTATAAAAACAAATTTATTTTGGCGACATTTTCTCGATATCACCAGTGCATTTGATCTGAAGACGACCAATAAATCCCGTACAAACTGTTTTTTTTTGTTTCCTCGCAGTCAATAAACTATAAATTCTATTGTTTGCTTAAATTTATCACCTTGACGCTAACCAGTGAGGGTGTGAGCCGTTATCTTTCTCCAGTGTTATCTTTTAAACTGAACAGAAAGGCGTAAGAAATGAGTATGTTGATGGAGGTGAAAATTGTTCTTTGTCACCATTGAAAACCTTTCAGAATTTTTAATTTTTTTTCACTAGAAAAACTGTTGAAACAAAATATTTTATCTTTCTTTTCTAATCTGTAGACTCACATTCTGGTTCTAACTACACAACCATATAACTTTCTTTTTTTCAGCTTATTACTAGTTACCTTTTGTACTGTTTATCCATTTCAAGCTTCTTCAGTTGAAAAACTACGATCCAATGACCGCATAGAGGTGTCGAATCATTCTATTTTGTCAAATTTTACAAAAGTTAAAAAAAATGTGAAAGTCTTAGTAAAACGATCTACTCTCTAACGATGTGCACATATAACGAACACACGCTTTCATAATATTACTATTCTTTTAAGCATAATCATATATAGTTTGACACGGCTATTTATGATAGTTCTTACCTTGTTGTAAAAGTGTTTAAAACAACAACACCAAGTGAAATGTTATTCTATGTTTTATGTTGTTTACATTTTTTTAATGAAATAACTACTTTTTTAGCTTTTATTTTAAAAAATAAATTACGCAATGAATTTATAATGCACAAATTAGCAAAATATGATAATCGAGCATTCCAGTATACATTATCTAAGAATACACGATTCTTATGCACATATTCTTTTTAAAATTGATGCAGCTGATTTACATACAGCTTCGGTTCTGATTTTCAATATCATCCTGGAATAAAAATATAACAGCTCATCTGCTAATTGTTCATTTGTGAGAAAAGTCTTCATGCTGTTTTTATTTCATCAGCGGAAAAAAGATGTAAAACATCTTGGATTAACATACATAAAAAAAACTTCAGCTAAATAAACCAGGCCGAATTCAATCATACTTTTGAAAGCAAATAAATGAAAATAAAGAAAAATAGCATTCTAATAAGAATTTAGGGAATATCTTAAAACTTTTAAAAAAATTCTCATCTTGGAAAACCATCAAATCCTTCAACACACGAATACGCACATGGTCACATTCAACATCTCTAGTTTTAAAAAGTCGTTATAAACTTTAGATTAAAATAAAAAGATTTAGCATGGGCAAACATCAAAATGCACAATTATCATCGGATGATGAAGATGAGTTAGAAGAAGAAGAATTTATTGTTGAACGAATATTAGATAGAAGAATTAAAAATAATGTTGTCGAATATTATTTAAAATGGAAAAATTTTCCTGATACAGAAAATACATGGGTAACAAAATGATTTTATTAAAATTTCTATAAGAGAAAAAAGACTAGTCGTTTTATTCTATGTTTATAGGAACCGGAAATGAATCTCGATTGTCCAGATCTTATTGCTGAATTTGAACGTACAAGAGCAAAACAACAAGCATCAGAAAAATCATCACCATCAATAAATGCAACAAATAATAAACGTCGAAATTTAAGTCCCGATGATGATCAAGATTCTCGTTCAGCATCTAATCAAAATAATGTTGATAATAGTAGACGTAAACGAGCAAATGAATATGGATATGGACGTGGTTATGACATTGAAAAGATTCTTGGAGGTTTTAAGTTTTTCTCACAATTAACAGTATACCTTCACTTTGTTTTATTTTTCTCTCATTTTAGCAACAGATGTTTATGGTGAATTAATGTTTTTAATCAAATGGAGGGAAACTGACAAACCAGAATTAGTTCCAGCTCGTATAGGTAATTTGTTCTTATTATGTGACAAACTGAGTTATTTCATCTTGTCTTCTGAGACTTTTATGAAGGTGGAATCTTCTCTTTCAAATGCATATATATATATTTTCATCATTTTAGCCAATGTTAAATCACCTCAGACAGTTATTAAATTCTACGAAGAACGTTTGACATGGGCTAATACGGAAGAAAATTCTACAGCTATAAATGAAAAATAAACTGTCGAATTCAATTTAACGTGTCAATAAAAAATAATTCATTTGGGCATTCAAGTTTTGCTGTTTTCTATTGTGCGTATATATTTCTCTACTTGTTTTGTTTTAATTGCCAAAATTCATACACTATTTTAGCAAAACTAAAATGAGAATGTTAACGGTGTTTTTAAAAGGGTTTATCATCTTGATAAAACATAGAATAAAGAAAATTGCTGTTGTCTGTTCTTGGTTTCATAATGAACTTGATATTCAATAATTTTGTTTTGGTCGGGAAAGACTTTTTCTTTTTCTTCTTCTTGTATTCTTGTTTCTCTTTTGCATTATGTGATAAAAATAAAAATAGTGAACACACACTACAATTCAAATGTCCACAATAACAATTTGGATCTCGTTTTGTTTGTTTTACTTGAAATTTTTGTTTTGTCGTGCGTTGCAAAACCCATTTCTGTTGTATTATTTTTTCTTCTTCATAGTTATTGTTGTTTTTGTTGTTTAAAAAAAAAAGAATGTGTGTCGTATTTTATAGTTCGATGTCCATATACAAAAAAACGAGTATTATTGATTATATTCTTTCTTTACAACGATTACTAATTCAACTACAGCATACGAATAGAAATTTTGGGAATGTCTTTAGATTGTTTCTCGCTTCTTTCTTATTTTTTTGTAGGCTATATTATTGTTTTGGGTTTTTTAAAATAAAATGACTAAGTTAAATTAAATCTTTTCCAATGTACTATTTACGAGTATTATTTAATGAGAAGAACCAGACAAACATAACAATAATCTTTTCTCAAGTCGCTAATGATTAGCTGAGGGTATCAAATATAGTTTTTAATGAGCGTTATTCGTCTAAGTTTATTGGATATATTCATTCAGGATCATGTATAACGAATTATTCAACAACACTGCTTCTTCTCGACTTTAAACACCTACATTAATCAACTATTTTCAATTAACATCTTTATTAAAATTCTAATAGAAACTAAAAGTCACATCCGGTTCATATTTACAGTTATGTACAGAAATCACTGTTCAATTACAAATTTTTTCTCAACAAAATGACTTTGGCAGTCTGTGGACGAATTGGAGATAATTTTTGAGCAATAACAAGATTTTCAATATTGAAACATTGTGACGTTGGTAACTTGGATTGATGTTTTTCTAATGTCATATCGGAAACAATTTTTGATAGACTATCGAATATTTGTTCTTGAAATAATTCCATTTGTACACAATGATACAATTGATTTTTCGGCTCATTTCGACGTGCTAATTCCATTAACGAACGTTTACGATTGTATAACTGAAGTAGAAGTTGAACGGATGAATTTTTTGAATTCTTAACACTTTCAATTAAAACATTTAAACGATCCTGGTTACCAGCAATCTAAAAACAAATCACATCGATCGATTATCCGCAATTCTTTCAAAGAAAATAGGTTAATTTGAAAAAGAAAGGTTTCAACCAAAAAAAGCTACATCTTTTCGTACTTAGTTCACAACATTCCTACACTTCCGAGAACTAATATTTCCTTTTTCCACAAACTAGTATTGGAATATGTACTTACCATAGTTTTCGACGATGCAGAAGTTCGACAGTTAGTACGATTCTCCATGGATAAACGATTAACTGTTCGAAGAGGTGTTGGTGGACGATATGTTTTGGAAGACGAATGCGTATTCAATGACATTGTGCACGAGAGATGTTTAAGACGTTTACTTGAGCAAAATAGTTTTAGTTGATTTGAGTAAAGAGAATGTGAAATTGACCTCCTTATATCTGATTTATGTAGCGTGATATTTAAATCACGTTGATTATAAAAAGATGCTCATAGAGTTTAATTGAAGCGGTTTTATTAATAAGCTATATTCACCGCATAATAATATATTCCCTTTAGCTTGTTTTTTCAATCACAAGTAATAAAAAAGAAGCTGGTCAATCTTGTTTGCGTTTTAGGCTTTAAACCAGTCAAAAGCTCTGTTGCTTGGTCAGATTTGCTTTTTTTGATAAATTGAAAGTTATTTATTACAAAAGAAAGTTGACGTATAATTTCTGGACAGCTAAACGTGATTTTTTTCACTCACGTTGATTTACTCTACATTAGAATTTGATAGCAAAGGTTATTATCAGTTCAAACCAATCTTATTTCTTCTCGATAATACTTCCGTGTCCTAAGTTAGCTTCTATAAGATGAATAACAAAAAGAACGTTCGTTGCAGGCAATCTTAATTTGAAAAAACACGTTCAACAACCTTTTTTTGAAAAGAATGTTGTTTTGAACATTTGTTTTGTTGTTTTTCTTGTATATTTGAATCTTCATCGTAAAAGAAAGTACAAAATTCGATACAGCAATTACGTTTTGTACAATAATGATCCCTAAATTTAAATGAGCTAATCACTTACATTTCTTTTTTTTAACCTTCTTCATTTGCAAAAACTTTCAAGTACCTCGGGTATATGATTACTTCACGCCTCAATCTTGGGAAGATGCAGCGTCACCTAATTGCTTCTTTGTTCACGTTGTTTCTCGTCTTTTTTGTCATTCTGGTATGTTGTCTATAAAACTTCGTCGACGAGCTTTTTTCGCCTTTGTCTACCCTGTTTGTATATGGTTAGCTCCATTGTTTTTCTATTTCACTGATATCATACAAAGAAAACTGTCCGATTTTTATGCTTTTTATTTAAGGCGCGTATATGGTTTAGATTTTCTCGATTATCGAGTATTTGTTTCTTTAACTGGCGAAAGAACTTTAGTAGCCCGTTTTTCTGCCCACCAGCTTAAATTTATTTCCAAGTTTCCATATTTACCTGGCAATGTATCATTAATAGAAACATGGACAATGTACTCAAATTTTCAGCGTGATCGCGATTTGTGTCTAAGTGAATCTGATTTACGTAGAAATTGTAAATTGTATTCTCGCCTTTTGGCAGAAAAGTATATTCATGTTTTTGCTCTCTTTTTTGATTTTTGTCAGTTATACCGTCATCATTTTAACCGCTATGCACGTTGTTTTCAGGTTGAATTATTGCCTAAATTGCTTCTCTTTTTTCGATATCCAGAAGCACTGATTTTTTAAAAAAAAATTTTTTGGATAACGTTCAAGTGGTTATTTTGTAAACATAGTCCGTAACAGTCAGTGTGGTTGATTTCAACTAATTCCATTGTCCACAGAAACTTTCAGCAGAATTTTGAAAGATGTAACGGTCAGTGTGACCAGCATTATCCATTAGGGGGTTGCAAACCACACGCTCGTTTGGATACAGTTACTCTACTTAAATTTTTTAAGAAATTTAAGTTGAGAAACTGCCTTTTACGCACCTGAGTAAGTGATTTTCTCTAGTTTCTGAGAAACTCAGTTACTCAGGAAAAATTTTTAGTCAAAAAATGCGTTACTCAATAAAAAACTTAAAACTTAATAAAGCTTCTCAGCAGGCTCGCCAGCCCCTACCAAAACTACTATCGGAAACACTGCGTGTGACCGATTTTTCCTAGTGCCATTGTTCTTTTTGACGCTTTTCAAAAATGACGATAGATTATAGATTTATACTATATCCCTGGAAAGTACTCATCTGTTAGTAATTTTTATTTGTCTTCATCCAGAAGGAAAACAGTAGAGGAGAAAAATAAGAAACGAACAACCAAATCAAACACGTATATATGAAACATGAGAAAGTGAAAATTTAAAATTTGTCTGTTTCATATACAAAAAAATTTCTTATGAAAAACACGCGAAAGAAGTCAAGTTTTGTACATATCATTCATTTAATATCATCCGTCTTTCATATTAACTGAGTTAAACGCATAAAAACAAAATAGACAGACAGAGGCAAATGATAATGATAATGAAATTGCACAAAAAAAAAGAGAGGGTCATAAGATACACGCCTAGTTTCATGGAATGAGACCAAACCGTTTTTTTCCTGAAAGAACGCCTGAGAGAAACAATACCAGAAATAAATGGACGGTATAAGATCTTACTGCATTATTAATTGAGAGAACAGTTCTTTTCTTTTTAGAAAAGAACAAACAGCAATAACAAAAAATAGACATCGAGGTGAACGAACATAATGAAAAGACCACGCGCTGATGAACACACACCAGGATAACTTATATTGCTCACACATACACACAACACGAGAGAAAGATTATTTTTGTTTTTTGTATAAAAGATAACTAATAATACCAATTATTTGTATAAAAGAAAAAAAGACAAGAAATACAGCGAACATCTGATACCAGAAGAGTGAGTGAGATTGAAAGAGCGAAAATGTCAAAATTCCATGAAGCTAGTGCTTGTTATTATTAATGTAAACGATTTTGATTGGTTTTTGCTGTTAATATACGATCGATCATACTTTTAGCATATTTTACACGTGTATATAATTGTTTTGTACAACCATAACGTTCTAATAATTGTAAACGATATGTACGTATTTCACGATGTTCATTAATATATGTAACAGCACTCATCAATGGACATAGAACAACTTTTGTATGATCTTGAAAGAAATTGATCTAAATGGAACAAGAAAAATCAGTTTATATTACAGCGTTCATAAAACAAAAAGAAGCAACATGTCAGGTTGATTAATATAATCGAAAGAATGAGCTTGGATTTTGTGTAGGACAATACAGGGTGCCTTGCAAACATTGTAACAGACTGAAAAGTTGAACGGAGGTGAGCTAGTTACAATAATTACCACCTTTGAAATCCGCAGTCATGTCACAACGGTCACCCAGTTTCGTCCAGCTTAATGACTTAGTCGTCTTTTAAGAGAGATGATAGATCGAAACAAAAGCCTTTTAGGACAGAGTTTACCTGTAACGTCCCATTTGAAAGATAAAATACAATTGCATTTCGAGTACGAAACCATGTTTTAACAAATGGTAATCGTGATAGTTCATCACCTGGACGTGGTGCATGTGATGCTCCAGCCTAAATAAAAGGAAGAACGTCATATCAAACGACAATCAACACAATGAGTGTGCATTCTACTTACTTTTAATAAATGTTCGTCCATATACGATGTAAAATATTTTAGTAATGTTACTTTTTTCTTTAACGTATCTGAATAATCTTTCATTGTACATAAATGTTCAACACCATCACGATCAATATACTGTAAATTTTCAGCACCACCAGCTGTCATAATCAAACGTGTTGAATCATTAAATAGAACACCAACTGAATCATCACATAACTGATAACCAAGACCATATTTATCTGAATAATCAACCCATTTTGATATCCACAACATGGGTGCTGATGCTGGATCTTCTGCTTCATCTACCAAAAATATAAATACAATTAAACTTATCTTTGATTACAAAAAAAACGTTTTATTTACCTTCGCGCTTTGTTTGTAATTCATTTGGTTTTGCTTCAATCAAATGATTTAATTGTCGTTGAAGATCAATAGCCAAATTGAGATCATCGTTAATTTCTTCATTTATTAAATTAGCATAGGCACCATCGAGACCGGTCAATTGTCTTGCCATTTGATTTGATAGTACGATATCTGTTTGATTTGGTACTTGTCTCAAATTAGCGCCACAAGCTCCATGAATATCATTTGGACGTTCAGGCATGGGTATTGGCGTTGGCATTGTTTGTAATTGTTGATGTCGTAATGCAATCATGGCTTGTTCATTTTGCTGTTGTTCAGTGAATGGTCGACGTTGTGCTTGATGTTGTTGTAGCTGTTGTTGTTGAATTATTGATGATTGTTGATTATTCATAACAGTGGGCAATGTGCTATAACGTGGTGCAACAGTACATACACTTGTTGGCAATGTTTGTGGTGTAAAACCGGCAAAAAATTGATCAATATAAATTTGTGACATTGTTGGACGATCAAATGGTTCTGGACGAAGACAACGTTGAATTAAAGCAACAGCTTCACGTTGTATTTTATTTTCCGGTATAATGTAATCATTTTTGCGAATTTTTGAATATGTATCTTTTAATGATGATGTTTCAAATGGGGGCTTACCAAGAAGTAACGTATATCTAAAATATGTACGATAAAAATAGATGTTATAGAATAGAATAATCACTACAAATACGTACAAAATACATCCCAATGACCATACATCAACCTGGTATGAATGACCTGCAAAGAAGAAAATATAAAAAAATACAGATTATTTGATTTCTGTAAAAGCTTACCCTTTTTATTGATAACTTCAGGTGCAATATAATTCGGTGTGCCACATAGTGTTCTAAAAACAATACACATTTTAATTAGGTCTTGAAAATTTCTTTCCTGTTTTCACTTTATACATACCGTTTACGATCACTTTCACTTTCGATACGAGTAGCTAAACCAAAATCACCAATTTTCACTTCCATTTGATCATTTAAAAATAAATTCCCTAATTTTAAATCACGATGTATAATACGTTTATCGTGTAAATAAATACATGCTTCAACAATTTGTTTAACAAAATAACGAGTTTCTGGTTCAGTAACGGTTTTTCGTCGTCGATGTAATTCCATCAAAGACTAAATAGAGAGATACTCATTAGTTCAATCCTCATGGTAAAACAACGATAAAAGTAGAAATAAGGTCGTTAAAACGTTCCATTTAAGAGTATCTGCCATCTCTCACACACATCAATTTTCATTGCATCACGTTAGGACTTCTTGAAAATATGGTCCATTCGAGTCGAAATTTTTACTACAGATACTTTAACCTTATATATCTTAGATTTCAAAGATTTTTCCGAAAAATTGACTTTACTTCTTCAAATATTCCAAAAACGCTGAACATCTCTTGACAATCTCAACGATTTACAGATCGTTCTCAGCATTTCTCGAATATTTGGAAAAATAAATTTTTCGGAAAAAACATTGAATTCTAAGCTATATATGGTTTAAATATCTGTAGTAAAAATTTCGGCTTGATCATTCGGAGGAAAAACACGTTGATTTTCGATTTTTGAGAGAATTTGCAATCTGTAACTTCCAAGAATACTATGTGGTCGACAAAAAAATGTTGGTTATTGCTTTTCATAAATATTATCGAATGTAGTGAAAAGTCCTAGAACTAGTATCTGTTGATTTTCAGGCGTCTCAAAAGCGACTGGAATGTACGTAGACGAGCACGATTAGTATAACTCAAATAAGGATGTTTGTTAAATGCACATATCGATAAAACTCATATGTAGTAAACAGTTGTTCATTTCTTTCGATGTATTGGTAAAAGCTCTATCACGAGAACATTATCTTGTGAATAGAATTAAGTTTTCCCATATATTCGTCAAATATACGTGGATCATAACGCGGAAATAAATGATCTTTGACCTTTCAAAATTGCTTTGTACATACTAATTGGATCCGTCGTTTGAACGAAGAAAATTGTATTTAAATATCCAATGTAGACAGGCTAGTGAGAAAAACGGCTAATCGAGTTCAGTGAAAATCTGTCTAGGACAAATATTCAACAAACTGCTCAAATATGATAGTTTATGTACTACATTAAATTTTGTTGAAAGATATGTCAACTATGTTGAAGCTTAAGACTACAATACAGATTCGTTATAGAAATATTCAATCAATTTAATAATGATAATAATAATAATAATAATAATAATAATAATAACAATATAATTATTTTTTTAATTATTCATTTCGATCATATTTAAGTGGTTATTGATGGTTCTAGGAAATTATCGAGATTGCAATTTAATTGTTAAAGAAAACTATAATCTGATGTAACATCGACTCGTGTATTGCTTTGTTTGAAGAAAGTGAGACCAGAAAAACCGTTTCCATCAGAATAACAACAAAAGAATAAAATCTAGATAATAACTTACACGTCTTCGACATAGCTCAAGAATAATATATACATTATTTTCATCTTCAAAATACGCAATAAATTGAACAATATGTTTATGTGACAGGCTCTGATGAATTGTTACTTCTTGTGTCATCTAAACAGAAAAGAAAAAATTAGTATAGTACGTTTTCATTTTTTTATAAAATACATACTTTTTCACGCTGATGTTGTTTGACTAACATTGATTTTGGTACAACTTTTCCAGCAAATGCTTGTCCAGATGCTAAATCAACTAATTCATAACAACGGGCAAATCCACCCTGAAAGTAAACATGATCGTTTAAGACATGTTCCACTTTAAACCATCCATTTTTCTACTCAACCATTTTGACGTGAAGAAAAGTTTGGCTACGCGCACATTGACATTTAGCAGGGTTTTGTGCACAACTAGACGATTGTTGGTGGCTAAAGTTTTACGTACTTTTCCAAGAAATTTTCCTTTTGCATATTGTATTCTAGTTTTTGGATCGATAATAACACTCGGAATGTTAAACTCATCTTTTGTCACTTCCATGATTGGCGTGAAGCTGTTGTTCTTGCTATTATTATTTCTAATCGATCTAAATCTGAAATAAAATATAATATGAAATATATAATATATACACTCATCTTCTAGCTTCAATTAAATATGATCCGACCTATTGTTATACATCAACAACAATAGAGAATAAATAATAATAATAAAAGAAAATTATGAAAGATGCAAGCTGTATGTGTATGCAAATATCGTATACATGTCACTTGATTTCGATTTTCTTTTTTTCTTTTTTCGTTGCATATACAGACGCGTGTTGATGTGGTATGATAATCGAAAAAAATGAAGATAATCGAATGTCCATATAGACATATTTACAGATGGGTAACACACACGTACGCAAAAAAATAGAAGGACCTTGACTGATGATAAAAAAAAATAAAATAAAATTGATTCCATTATCATCAAAAAGAGCTTTTTTCGTCCTCTAAATGTGTCTGTACTGGACAAGACAAAAAATCGTACTACAATCAGTTCGGAACGGTATAAACAGTAGAAACGCTACTCACATTTGTGAACAGCAACATTTTCAATAAGGGTGGGAAAGAGTGATGATTTCTCCTAAAGTAAACTTTTCCTCTTTTTCCACCAGTGAGGATCATCTGAAAATTTTCGTTTTGAAAACGGATTCTCTACCAGAATTTAACTTCTTTCATCATAATCGAGAACAATCTGAGAAACTGATAAGAGGCTAAATTTGAGACAATCAACGAACAAAGACCAGACAAAAGATCTTTCCACTCGAAAGACTGAAAGGATGTTGATCTTTATATCGATCTTTTACTACAACACGCATATGACAAGAGAAACTAATAAATTGTAAAAATCTCCACTACATCGTGCAGCAAGCCTTTGTGTGAAACCTTATGAACAGACACAATGACCAGTTGCCATTAGTTTACTTATTTAATATGATTCGCTGCCATGAAAGCGAGTAGCCATATTCATGCGGAAAGATAAGTGTCTCCTTATTGATGATGTTCATAGACAACAAACAGATCACACAAAAAAGCAATAAACAAGGAAAGAATTTTTTATTATTCTGAATAGTTTATTAAAACAAACAAATGAAATAATTTACATGTTCATAGAAATACATAATTCGTAGGCTCTCTTCGAACAGGAGTTTAAATTATAAAGAGTAATTGGAAAAAACTGTCTTACATTGGAAGACAACAAGAATTTAGTCCAAAAAACCTTTATGACATGTAGCGTAACGCCATCTATCTGTTTGAATATGTATGCGCGATTATTGTCAAGAATACACTACCCAAACTACAATTATAATTCTTCAATGAGTTTCTTTGGAGTTCGTTGCTCGGTGATAGTTTCTAAAACGTAAGAGAAGCATTTTTTTGACAAATTAAAGTAGATATTCGAGCAGGGGTCTCAAATTCAGTGGCTCATGGGGGACGGAACAAAGAATTGTCATAGTGATTCCTTTGTTCTGTCCCCCACGAGTCACCGAATTTGAGACCCCTGTATTCGAGTGATAGCAACAAAAAAAAGTCTGGAGTATATCCTTTCTCCTACACAATTATTATGCTGGTATGTGAACAGATGTTTTCGTACACTTTTTTGTTTTTCAGTAATACAAATCCACGGGGTGGAAGGTTTGAATTTAAAGGAAAGGAAAGAAAAATAAAATTTCAATTCCTGTTTTCATATTCCTTTCGGATTAGCTACATTAAATTCAATATTCTACAACTATGAAGATTCCTAGTCGACTCTTCTCAAGAAAACTCCCAGGAGCTCCCCAGGGAGCCACCCTCAAAGACCCTGGAAAGTCCCCGAAATGTATACAAAATATGTAATCCCTAACGACTCCTCTCATGCCGCTGTCGCGCGACGCTCATGACGTGATCGTGGCCGTCTTGGTCTTCGGGGAGTCTCTACCAACTTCCTATTCACCTTTTGTTTTGCAAATAGACAATATATAAATATAATATAGTTCTACGAATTTTCTTCTAGTAAGTCATCAGTGATGTGTCAAACTTCGTTGGCTGATATGTCTCACACTGGTACCAGTGATGGTACCTGACACTTAATTACTAATTAGTTAGATGAAACTAAAAAAGATGGACCAATAGACATGCAGGGAGTCCCAGGGATTTTCCTGGTAAGAGTCAGCTAGGGACGATCCACTACTATCTCGTGCGCAAAAAAGATTAAAAATACAAATAAAATTCTACTTTTTTTTTGTTTTTATTCAAAACTTTTGTTCATTGAAAATTTGTATTGCTAAAGTACGAAAAAGCGCACGAAATAAGCACATCTTTTCGGTCTGACTAACAAATGCTCGATTTATTCTTACATTAAATGATTGGTGATAACATAAGAGAAACAATACAACGGCACTTTATAAACTTTCCACAGCTGATAGGCACAACTATCAGATACCAACGACAAGCACAGATTACAATGCTCATTGCTGGTTTCACCCCATTCTACCTTTTGTTCAACGCTCAAGAACTAACTTCTTACCATTCTCGGCATTTTTATTTTCATTATCATCCATTTCAACTATTTTTAGCCGACGTGGTTTTTCTTCTTGCTCTAAAAATTAAAGTTATGTTAACGACATTATAACTTCTTTATGTGTTAACTTACTTGCTGAACGAAACATACTGTCAAATGATGAACTAGTAATCACATTTTGTAACGGCGCACAAATATAAGGAATATCTAATACACATAAACAGCAAATTAAAGACATTTTGAAGGCACTTTTTGAAGAAACGTGCCATTTTTTTTTATTTATTTTTTTTCTCATAGAAAAATCAACTTACATCGATATTTTTTATATTAAAAATTGATTTATTATTCTTTTTTACTCGAAAAATTCATTTCGATCGACTTTTGCTTTAGAAAAAAACCTATTTAAATTAATTTCTTTAGAATTCTGTTTGAAAAATCTGTTTAAATTAATTTTTAAAAAAATTCATTTAAATTCATTCTGCGTAATTTCGTGTGAAAAGTCTATTTAGATTCATGTCTTTCTCAATGAATCTGATTTTGATTCTTGCAAAGAATTAATTTTAAATTCCTTTTTCTCCAAATTAAAGATAAAATGCACTTAAATAGATTTTCTCAAAAACTAAAACCAGATTTACTGAGATAGAAATAAATTTAAATAGAGTTTTCACACAAACAATTACGCAGAATGAATTTAAATGAATCTTTTTAAAACTTAATTTAAACAGATTTTTCTAAAAGATTTTTAGAAAAGTAAATTAAAATAGGTTTTTTTCAAAAAAATCGATTTAAATTTATTTTTTCATGAAAAAAAATAAATCAAAAAAAAAACGGCACATTTCTTCAAAAAGTGCCGCAATGGGCTACAACTATATCTTTCTATTTACCATCTTCATTATTAACACCTTTTTCGAATGAATGATCTTCTTGAACGTTGATAGATGATGGACTTACAACTGAAACTAAACGATTATCGTCAGAACTATCATCCTCTTTCTTAGTTGTTTGCTGTTGATTATTTTCTTTTCCTTCTTCTTCTACTTGTTCCATTTGATCATCATTAGGCACATCTTCTAATGCTGGAATTTCTTCTTCATCACTACTGTCTACTCCATCATCATTTCGTACAATTACCGTAGTATCAGTTGTTTCACCGGCAAGTTCTTGTTCACTTTCGTCAATATCATTTGTACTTTCACCACGATCGCCCAAAAAATGACGTCGCATTACCATTAAATCTATAAACAAGAAGAATGTTTTTATGCTTTTTTTCTTCATGTTATATACGTTGACCTACTATTAAGAGAATCTGCAGTTCTTCGTTTTTCCGAATTTTCCCAGCGCTGACGTTCTTCTCGTTCTGCTTCTCTACCACCTTGTGCCCTAGATAAAATTTCAAATATAGAAGGAAGTAAAGAAATAACTGTAATATATACCATGCTTCAGCACATGCTCGATCTCTTGGAAAGACTGGTCGATCATCCAAATAAGTTAGGTTTTTCTAAATAGAACAAAACAAACTAAAAATCTCAGCTTTTTGTCATTTTGGATAAATAATATTTACACAGCCAAGTATCAGTGTTCGACGATAATCTTTGATATCTTTTATCACAGGATTACCAAGCAAATTGAGTACACGCTAAACGTGAAAAAAAATTAGTTCGTATGGGAAAAACTTTTGAACTTTCATATGTGAAAAATCCAATTTTACTTCGACGAACATAGATAATTTATACTTCTACAAAAATGTTACGAAAGGTGACAACAGAGTCTAATGAATAGTCTCTTAATTTGAAGGTCACATATTTACATTTGAACTATACACTTTGATTAAGAAAAGATATGTCCCGCTACTGGACATACAGTGAACAATAAAACAGAAGAGAAATAGAATATGCAGGAAACTGGTGTAGATGATATCGGTTGGAGTAGAGTATAGCAGATCTAATTCACAAGATTAGATAGTAAGCATTATAAGACTCGTAAAAACCTTTTTATTTTCGATCTACAATACTTTGAGTGATTATTTGTGAATTTATTATGATGTTGTGTAGTATTCACGTATGAAAGTTACTAAAAATTCCCTATGGGTAGAGCGAGCTGTAGAGACATACCAGTGCTAATAGCGCCATTGGTGACTAAGTAACACATCAGAACTTTCATCAATCAAAACTACAGTACATACCAGATTTTCCATTTCTTTAAAAACTTCAGCAACGTCAACATCGTCAATATGGTTATGTGATAAATCAACCACACTCAAACTTTTACAGTCTTTTAAATGTTCAATATCTTCTGCTGTTTCCAATTTATTATGAGATAAATACACCGAATTTAATCTTGGTAAACATGCTAAAGAGACAAACAAACATCTTACAATACTTTTAATAGTACGTTACTCTAATACTAACCGAGATTAGTAATTTTTTTGATATAATTATTCGATAAATTAATTGTATCTAAATATTGTAAATGATCTAAATTTTCAATTTCATTGATAAGATTTTGATGTAAATAAAGACATCTCAATTCTAATTGATTATCAAGATTTTCTATTCTTGTTATTCCATTTGATTCTAACCATAAGCATTTCAAACCAACATATTCATCTAAATTTTCTATCTTAGAAAAACCTTTAAAATGTAGATATAATACATCATTTAAATATGGTGTTTGGTATAATTTATTATCTTTACAATGTTTTTTAATAAACTCTTTTGTCATACGAGGATAATTCATATTATCCACTGTTGTTGATGTTTGAAATTGATTGACGATTTCACACGACGGCATTTTGACAAAAAAACAAATATTCTAAAAGTAAAAATATGCAAGGTAAAAAGATTTAAATAAATAAAGCTGCCCATGTTCATTTATTAATTTACAGACTAAAATACAAAGAATAGTTTTGTCATTCAGTTCGCTTCTAAATCTAATGTTAACAATCAGATTGCAACTAAAGTTGAAACCATTCAAGGGTATGATTTCAGAACAACAAATAATTTCAGTTATAATTTAATTAAAATATAAAAGAAACACTCTTGAAAAGAACATGAATTTTTAATTAAAAAACATTGTATAATGCATCGGTTTATTTTCTTTCGGATGAGTGGTGATGTGTAACATAGAATTTGTCTATCTCGATCTATCTTGAGTGGCTAACAAGACTGATGTGACGTAAGACTTTTTCTACAAAAACAAAAATGCGTAAATTTTTTGACGCAGCCATAATAGTGGTATGAACTGGACGTAACCGAGTGATAGGTTATAATCAATTAACTTTTGTGTAAAAATTATGAATTGTGTACACAGCAAGTATACTGAGTACTACACTTTGTGTCTTTTGTGTATATATTGAATCTAACGGGTGACATCTACCATTAATGGAGCTTTTTAATTGGCTATTAATTTCTAATCGACCAAAACTAGCCAATTGTTCAAGACTGTTGGTAAACCATATTTTGTAGGCGAAATTGGTAGCAAGCAATAATATGGTTATCAATCAAAATATATCAGAAATAAACCTTGGAGAAAAGAACAACAATAAATGCATTATTTTTTCCATTGATTGTAATGATTTGCTACTAATCTTTGTTTATGTTGAATGATAATCATAAATGACATACAGTTGTCCTGACGGATCGAAATTTTTTATTTGGGAATAGTTTCAATCGTATTGAACCTACCGCCATGGTCGATGACGTCATAGCTTTTAGTCGTCAGAAGCTATCTTTTCTGTGGCAAAATTTTATTCAATGAGATCTGTTGCAAATAAATACTATTTATTACAGCTATTCATGCTATTG